ATTTAGGGTAAAAACAATTCTAAGTACCTAAGTCCCATGTTCAGAAGTGTCTCAGGCACGTAGAAGCAAGTCCCATTGACCTTCAGTGTCCCTTAGGTACTTTTGAAAACTATATCCTTACTGTATTTTAGCTGCCTCTTAACATGATTTACCAGCTGGAAAGAAGGAGAACCAATACCAAGAGCCCAGACAGCACTCCACAGAAACAAGCAAGTGCTCCATACATCACTAGTGGTCCACAAACCATAGTGTTAGAGATGCTGTCATAGGGAATATTATAGATCGGGTTTAGTTAGTTATGTTTAAAGGGGACTCTATTGAACCACCAAAAAAAGATAATTATTTACACTGAATCATTCTGCTGTATATGATATTGACATCTCCCTGTTGACAGCCATGGCAGCACTGTGACGTGGGCAGTGTAGTCACGCTTTATCACTGGGGAGAGCTCTCTCAGTGATAAAAAAAACCCACCCGAATGAGCACTGGTAGCTTTATCGCCAGGAGCACGACGCACAGCAATAAAGCGCTGTCTATACTGGCGCTTTTCAGCGCTAAAACTTTTGTCACTCAGGGGTGTGTTTTTTCACACCCCTGAATGACTAAAGTTTTAGCTCTGAAAGTGCCAGTGTAGACACAGCCTAAATCACTAGGCCATCATCCTGCTTCAGAGACTCTTGTCATCTCACAAGTATTTAGATCCATGGGTTTGGATGCAACCACTGTGAAGACACATGCAAGATTCTTCAGTCATTATCTAACCATTCAACACTAATGTGAGTGTCTGACTGGGAGGGTCTATGGCTACTGGAGATGAATAAACAGTTGGGAGAGAAGCATTTGCCTGTTTAACATATGTGCCTGCCAAGCTGTCTTTCCAGGGTCATGGAGACTCCGTAGTTCCTCTGGGCTGTCAAACAGATTACATGCAGCAAAAGAGCCGGAGCATCTCTGCCTGCTACTCAGAGTATACACTGATAGTCACAGACATCCCTCTCACAGCAGCTTTAAGTGAACCCTTTTAAGCCCTTGCTAAGGTTTTGCAGCCTTCATCTTCTGGTGTCCTAAACAATTCAAGAGCCTTATTATTTTGTAACAAATTTTTTCTCATGCTGCAAGTATCTTTGCTCCTGATATAGAGCCTGATCCTGCAAATGCTCTGTGAAGCATGTTCCCAGCATGGATGTCCACTGTTAAAACAGTTTCCAGGGCTCACTCTCAGGTGGCTGCACTTCTGCAGGGGGTGATATGAACCTTTTGTACAGCTGTTCTATAAACTTATAAAATTTTTAAAGCACTGTGGGATTCTTCGGGATGAAATTTGATAAAGGCGTGTAAAGAATTATATTTACAAAAAAAAAAAAAATCAAATGCACAAATACAAAATGGGGAGTAACTGGGTAGGTGGCAGTACTGCAGAAAAGCATCCGGGGGTCATACTGGATCACAAATTTAACAAGAGTGAATAATGTGATGCAGTTGCAAAAAAAGGCTAATATTTTGGGGATTAGAGCGTTGAATGTAAGACATGGGAGGAAATTGTTCCACGCTGCACTGGTGAGGCCTCAGCTGGAGTATCGTGTCCAGTTTTATGTGCCATACTTTTAGAAAGATGTGGAAAAATTGGAGAGAGTCCAGAGGAGAGTAACAAATGTGATAAAAGGTTTAGAAAACCTGACTTATGAGGAAAGGTTACAAAAACTGGGCAAGTTTAGTACTGGGAAAAGAAGACCAAGGGAGGGACTTGATAAGTATGCAAAGCACAAAAGGTTTAAGGGCTTTTATAAAGAGGATGGTGACCGACTGTTCTCCATGTCCACAAGAAGTAATGGGCTTAATCTGCAGCAAGAAAGATTTAGATAAGATAGTAGGAAAAACTTTCTAACTATAAGGATGATTAAGTACTGGAATAAGCTACCTAGTGTAGTTGTGGAATTCCAATAGTCAGAGGTTTTTAAGAACAGATTAGACAAACAGGTTAGGGGTGCTCTAAGTATATTTGGTACTGCCTCCATGCAGGGGGATAGACTAGATTACCTCTCGAGGAAGGTCCCTTCCTGCCCTACATTTCTATGATTTTTATATATGTACATTGTTATTATATTAACATAATTTTAGTATATAGTAGAACCTCAGAGTTATGAACACCTTGGGAACGGAGGTTGTTCATAACTCTGAAATGCCTGTAATTCTGAACAAGTCATTGTGGTTCTTTCAAAAGTTTACAACTGAACATTGACTTAATACAGTTTTGTAACTTGACTATGCAGAAGAAAAATGCTGCTTTCCTTTTTTTTCCCCCCTTAGTTTACATTTAACAGAGTACTGTATTTGCTTTTTTTGTTTTGTTTTTGTCTCTGTTGCTGCCTGATTTTGTACTTCCGGTTCCAAAAGAGGCGTGTAGTTGACTGGTCAGTTCGTAACTCTGAGGTTCTACTTTATACACATTTTGAGTGACCAAAATACTTCCATGAAGATGTACTGCTCTTACTTTTTCACACAACATTGTATTGTGTCCTACAGGTGGATTTGGCCTGCTTTATTCTTTCACTTGCCAAAACAACGCTCTAACAAAAACTGTCACCAAAACCAAGACCTAAACCCCATGGCAGAGTTCATAATGGGTCATCAGACAGTGCTCAAGTAGGACTTGTGACTGTAGAACGCTGGTTCGGCATCTCAGAAACTGAATATGGTGGACAGTTACAATTCTCTGTTAATCTTATAGCAACATAGCAGCTATTGAAAGAAATACTGTACAATAAGAAGGATTTCTTCGTTGAAGAGTAGATGAGGTTGGATGTCTGTCTGAAAAGGTTTTTTTCCCCTTTTCTTGAAAGCACAAATCATTTGGCTTGTAGTGAGTCAGATCCAGATTGGAATGACAGTCCCATTGCCCTGGCTAAATTTCAATTTGAGTAATTTCAGTCTGATTATATTTGTCCCCCTGAAGTTTTAATTGGATATCATATTCTTTACTTCCTGTCCTAAATTAAAGAATAATATTTCTATTAAACAGCTGTCGTGACTCATGTTTTAGTGGTGGACAAAGTGATTGCAGCGTATATGCCTGTAATGCCCTTTGGGATCCTTTAGAATGAAGATCATTATATACCGGGGTTCTCAAACTTCATTGCACCGTGACCCCCTTCTGACAACAAAAATTACTACATGATCCAAGGAGGGGGGACCAAAGCCTGAGCTCACTGAAGCCCCACTACCCCGGGGGGGGGGGGCAAAGCCCAAGCCCAGTGGGGCCAAAGCGGCCTGTAACCTGAGCCCCACCACTCAGGGCCTCAGGCTTTGGACCCGGATGTGGACCCCAGTACCCAGCAAGCCTAACCCCAGTCCTGGCAACCCCACTAAAACGGGGTCACGACCCACTTTGGGGTCCCCACCCACAGTTTGACAACTGCTGTTATATCATTATTGCATACCATTAAGATATTGTTGTTACAGGTCTGCACAAATTCTGCATCCACCAATTGCCAGCAGCAACCTCCAAAGAGGCCAATACCACACAGAAAGGCAGATGGGAATAAACTCTCATAACTCCTCTGATAAAGTGTTACTGACACAATGCGTCTAGCCCCCTGCCATCCTGAAGGCTCCTCTGCAGCCTAGCTCCCTTAGTGACAACACTAGGGTAAACGTATTGTGTTTGAAAGATATGATGTAGACGAGTAAGTATTTCTTCATGGTCCAATTTGAAGTTCAGACAAGAGCAGGAATATTGACTCTGCCCATCTGCCATAGCCCCCATTCACCTCTCTTAGGGAAGATACTTATTTGGGCAGCATGTTTTAGTAAAGTTACATTACGTTATGTATCATATTCAAGCCTTACACAATCAAAAGAGAAAAGTGAAAAATGAGGCCATGTAATATTCAATGTGATCTTGATGCAATCGGAGCTCAGAAAAGCATGGTCTGGTCACGGTCACAAAATGAGCACTTTATCTTCTCCAATAATGTCAACAGACAAGAGATATGTGTCATAGAAGTAGTATGCTCCTTTTAATACTTCCATTGTTGTTCAAGCAGTGAAACTGCTTTGGATGACAGTTTTTGAATAATGCTGGAAATCTGAGGCAGGAGACAACTCTGAATATTTAATTTTTAAACCCTTAAGAACTGTGTTGTTATGGCATCGGTGACTCTAGAATGTGCTTGATATGACAAAATAGACATAAATGTTAAGCGCAAACTCTGCAGATATGTGACATCAAGTGTTCAAACCAATCAGATGGGGGGAAAAAGCCAATTAAATGTTGGGATCCTTACACAGAGGAACAATAACATCAAATGACAGAGGGGCTGTGTTGCTACTAGCTCTCCCACACATACACCCGAACTCTAATATCTAGCGTGTGTGGGGGCGCACATGCATGAAGCAAGGACAGAAGGTGAACCAGTGCTGCCTGAAATGGGGAGTACGCTCTGCTCTCATCCTTCCATGGACTCAGGAGCTACTCTATCACTTTACACCCTGTCACATCTGACAGTGAAGAGGAGCAAAAAGTCCCTGACTTGTAATGATTGGGAAGGTACACAGGAGTGATATACTATTACAGTTTACACATGGTCCCCTGTAAAGCAATGGGCGTTTTGTAAACACAGTGATTGGAATGGTTGGGTGATGTCCCTTTGAAAAGGAGGAGAGAGAGACTGTTGGAAGCAGGAGGTTCCATGGCACTTGAAAGCAACAGTTGGAACTGGTCAGCTGACATGAGAAGGATAAAAGTATGGGGAAGAGAGAAGAGAAGAGAAGAGAAGAGCAGTCAGGGAGGAAGCATTACTAGGAAGCTTGGAAGAGTGCATCAGAAGAGCTGAGTGAAAGGAAGGGAACAAGAGGGGAAACCAACAGAATCAAAGAAAAAGCAAGAAGTAGCAGTGGAAGAATAACAGACTGGGCCATCCCTCCAAAAAGAGAAGTGAGTTCCTAGCTTTCTCTCACTGCATGGAGCATATACAGATCTGAATTTGCTTCCTGACCTTTTTTTGGGGAAAAAAATACAAACATTTCAAGTATTTCTCTCTCTCTCTCTAATGAATATATTGTGGTCCCATAGGCTAATTACCTAGTTCTGGTAAAAGGTAAACAGTTTCATAGGATGTTCTTATCAGTACCCAGGAACTACAATGTGTTGTTGGCATTCAAGACGGCGCATCCCAGCTTACTAGACCTTAGATGCATCAATGGGCCATACTAATCATGTGCCTCAGGGATACCGAATGATCAGGCTTGACAGAATCAATTTTTTTAATATCATTTCAATGGATACTGATGTTTATTTTAAAGCTTTTTTTATTTTTAACCATTTAAATGTTCACACTTGTGGGAAAGTATGGGAGGTTCAGGCAACGGGGTGGTCAGACAAAAATTATTTAGTGACAGAAGACACTGAAATTCAGAAAGTTAAAACTTTATAACCATTAAAATACAAATTATCAACGTCACATGTCAAAATATACCAAGTACGTATTGTTAAATCAAACTCTAATACGTTCTCAAGTAGCATTTTTCTAACTTTGCCTGCCTGTATATTTCAGTTATTATGGATGGAAATACTTTTTGTCAGTTTGTGTGTGTACGGTGAAATAGATGTTTACTGATATCTATCAAAAATCTAATCCTTCCAAGCCTCTAAATAATTCATAGACTCAAATGCAGGGTGAGGAGTAGACAGAGGCTTCTCCCACTGTGATGTTCCCATTTGGAAGTAGCTTTCCTACAGATGTCCACGTTTTTAGGTACTTGGAGCCCTTCATATGAAAATCTGAAGAACTGCAGTGAATGGTAAATATATGGTTTATGCCAGAGACAATCCAAGCAGATATAACTGTTTGCCGTACAGACTGGCTCCAGCGATTAAACTTGAAGCCAGCTATTAAAGAAGGAAAAAAACAAGCCACACTTACCCTCTCTGAAGATGAAGACAGCAACAATAATGGATCTTAGGAGATTCACACAGGGAATGAGGCAGTTTCTCCTCAGTGATATGCTTCAACAGTGCCCTGGAGAGACACCCCTAGGAAGGAGAAAATAATTTAGTCTCCATGACTCTTTCAGTCCCTTGCTTCTCATTTCTGACTGCCAATAAGCATGCTCACCCATGGTACTAACAATTGCTATCGTACAGACGTAATGAGACCAAATACAGTGATGTTCCTTTCCTCTTGGCAGCTATTCATACAGCAAACAGGGCTAGAACATTAGAAATAGAAAAGTCCCAGAACACTCCGGGACAGTTGGGAATGGTGACTGTTAGAGCTGGGATTTGGACGTGAAAGACAGCAACTGGGGAGTGACACGAGGGATTTGGCTGTTGGAATTTGAGAGGTGAGAATGGCAGTTCTTAGGGGGAATCCCAGAGAGAAGAAAGCTGAAGAAAGTGCAGTGACAACAGTAGGAACCATCTGAGGGGGAGAGAGGGATCAGGCAGGGAAGTGTTACTGGGATGTTGGGTAAAGTGTGTGAGAAGAGCCATATGAAAAGGAGGCGAAAGAAGAGAGCAAGAGAACCAGGGACAATGCAAGAGGCCAGAGAGTGGCAGAGAAACAGCAGACTGAAAAATGCAGTGGAAAAGATGAGCTTCTGGTTCGCTTACTCTGTGCTGAGCACATGAGGGTATAGAAACATAGAATCTCAGGGTTGGAAGGGACCTCAGGAGGTCATCTAGTCCAACCCCCTGCTTACAGCAGGGCCAATCCCCAATTTTTGCCCCAGATCCCTAAGTGGCCCCCTCAAGGATTGAGCTCACAAGCCTGGGTTTAGCAGGCCAACACTCAAACCACTGAGCTATCCCTCCCCCCCAAATCACTGAATCACCTTCTAACCTGATGTATGTTTAAATTACTCAAAGAATAAGCGCTGTACATTTGGGGATGAAACACAACAAAGTGATTGAATCCATGTTTTAAGAGCAAAATGGAATTCAACAGTAACTACATAGCCATGACCGGCAGCTCCAGAACATAAAAAAAGTGTGTTTACAATCGATATCTAGTCTCCTAAGAAGCCCTATGCTATCTCAATCAAGTTAGCTGAATGCGATTGAAAAGCTCTCTAAACGCTCGTTGAGACGCAGGCTAACGGAAGCATTTGAAGCTGTGGCCTAGGCTTTTTCAAATAGGCACAAGATGGCAGTGACCTGTGCTCGTTATTCACTTGCAACTGGATAGGAACTGCTAATTGAGATATCAAAAACCAATTATTGACTCTATGAGCCAAACAGTGCCTCTCAGCTTAACCTTTCAGAAGACGTTACAGGTTGGGTTTAGGCTTTAGAAGGACAAAGAACCCAAAGCAGCACACTTATTATGAGTGATTAACAGTCAGGTGACCCCAGAACCCCATTACTGAGTGACATTGCTGCATAGCTACCAGTGGCTCCCTCAAGCCTACATCCTTTTTCTGTGGTGACAGATTGTACAGGACAGAGTTCAGACAGCCCGTGATACACTCTTCCCTTGGGCCACTGTGCCAGAGCAGGAGGTGGTAGGTGTACGTTGCACACAGCGGATGTTGTGACTATCATGGCTACCATAGCAGGCATGCATAGGCCACTACGCCAGCTCCTTACTGGGCAGGAAACCTGCGGGGCCAACCCTCGGGCACTTATGGAGCTGCAAGGCCAGTGGCTGGAGCGTGTTTTGGGGCAAGAGAGCTGCAAGGTCATCGCCTGGGGGCGCGGCAGCCCATCCCTGGGCACAGCTGTCGAAGGCCGGGCGGAACCAGCCACGTGTGTGATGGAGCGGGACAGCGCGCGCCGCTGTCCTACTTTCCCTCTCCCGCGCCCGCTTCTCGCGCCGTCCTCGGTGCCTTAGCACTGAGCTCCGTCCGCCCTCTCCCTGTGCGCGAGGCGCGGCCAATGGGGGCACAGCGTGGGGCAGGCGGCGGAGGCGGGGCCCACATGGAGTCTGGTGCGGCTGCGCACAAAGCTGCCCGCCCCTGGATGTTCAGGACGGGAGGGGGTGTCTACGCCTGCGCATAACAGCGCTGGTCTCACATGCCCAAGAGCGGTGTTTTCTGCGCCTGCGGTGTGCGCCTCCCCTCCCCAGTGGCCGGGAGAGGGGGATTGCTACGCATGCGCAGTGTGGCCTTCGTACCCCTGTGCCCCGGAGGGGGGGGTTGCTGCGCTTGCGCACAACGCTGCCCGCCCCTCGCCAGCAGTAGCAGCAGTAGGAGGAGGCGGCGTTGGTCCCGGCTGGGGCGATAGCGTGAGGGTGCCCGAGCGCCGCTGTTGCCCCCTTTTATCCGGGAGCCCCAGGTCCGGGCCGAGGAGGAGGAGGAGGAGGAGGCGTCCCGGCCGCGGAGGGAGTCCGAGCGGCGGCGGCAGCAGCAGTCTGTGCCCGGCCCCCCCTGCGCTCAGTCCCGTTACAACCCCCTCCCTCCGCGCTCCGCAGCCACCAACATGTCGGCGCCGGCGGCCAAAGTCAGTAAGAAGGAGCTGAACTCCAACCACGATGGGGCCGACGAGACCTCAGGTGAGGCCGGGACGGGGGAGGGAAGGGAATGGCGGCGGCCGCCGCGGCCTCCTCCTCCCCGCACGGCGCTGCACCGACCGCCATTTTCCCCAGCCACACGGGCCGCGGCCGGGCCGGAGGCGGGAAGAGCGCGGGGTCGGCCGGGCGGATGTGCAGGCCTCAGCCGCGGCAAGAGGAGGCCATGTTAGAGCCCTTTTGTCTGTACTGCCCGGCCTCCTTCTCCGCGGGCGGGGGGCGCTGCGGCCTGCGCGGAGCAGCGGGACCCCCCCTCCTGGAGCAGCATCCGCGGAGCCTCATTGTGCTCCGCCGCCGCCATGATGCTTCGCCGCCTTGTGGTCTCGGAGCCGCTACTGCTGCATGGTGCTGCCCGGCCGCGCAGCGCCGGGATAGAGCGGCGCTGTCTCGGTGGCTGGCGGGGCCCGCCCGACTGGGGAGCCACGCGCTACTCGTGCAGCAGCGGGATGCGGCTGCCCGCCCGTCCCCACGTGCGATCCGAGCAGCCCGTGTGTCCTGAAAGGTCGGTACTCGGTTCACCGTGGCGTGGGGTTTGCATCAGTCGCCGCCGTAGGGGGAACTTGCCCCCGGTAAAGGCTGTCGGTTCCCCCACCCATAGATGTTCGCCTGTTTGGCGCGGGGTGTGGAGGTGCTCATGGCAACGAGCCTCCAGGCCAGCCGCTCTCCGCTGTGCCCGGTTCCTTTCACACACGTGCTTCCCGCACCTGAGTTTTCCTGTGTAATGGGGGCGGGGGAGAGAAAACGACACCAATCTACCCATCTCCGGCCGCAGGGTGGGGGTAGGGCTTGGCTCTGAGGCCCCCACCGGAAACAGCTACCCCATCACACGAAATCCTCTGTGTTCGCAAAGTAATCGGGGGAGGGGTGCCTGTGCCGCACTTCTACAGCTGCTTCCCGCTACCTTTCGTTAATCTTAAAACACTTTAGGCAAACAGCCATTGCTTAATTAAGCGCTCCAGCAGCCTCTGCCGAGTTAAAGTTCTGATTAGAAGATATCCACTTCATGGTGGTTTTGAAATATTTACCTGCATCTCTTCCGAAACGCGCCTGTTAATTGTGGAAAACAGCATTTCCAATTGTACTGTTTTAATGAGCATTTTGTATCTTATTTTTTCTTTAGTATTCAGTTCGCTTAACTGATTCAATTTCTGTAACTGTGTTCAGTTCAGAAAGAATGATTTGGTGTATAATTTTAGTAAATTATTAAACTATTGTTGTTTCAACAGATGGGCTATAAAATACCAAGTGTATATGACAATATATTGTGAATTAGCACGGGACCTGGTTTGAGCCCTTTTTAAAGGAAAAAGGAAAAAGACAGCAAAGCTTTACACCAATCTTCAGAGACTTCACTTAGCAAGTTCAGTTAGTAAAAAATGGTAGTTTTACAAGGTCTGGTGAGCCTTGTTGTATCAAGTGGAAATAATCATTTAAATGCCATCCAGAATAGTGGTAAAGGTTGTGAAAATAAACTTTTCTGATTGTTTCTCAAGTGGTGTCATATATTATTGAGACTTCTTTTCAGTAACTTACAGAGTTTGATGGATTTATTTTTCTTTCAGAAAAAGAGCAACAGGAAGCAATTGAACATATTGATGAAGTACAGAATGAAATAGACAGGTAAATTATTTAAAAAAAAACTTTTGAATAATTTAAATTATGTTTTAGCAGAACTGGTAATAAAAATGCTTTTGTAACTGAAGTAGCGTATGTACCATAGTTGTTCTCACACTTTCCAAAATCTCAAAAGTATAGTAGTGGTTTGACATTTGAAGGTGCAATCTTGTGTCCTGTTTAGCTGTGTACAAGTAAACTAGCTGGGCCTTAAGATAGAACTTGACTTTTAACACTTGAAATACATTGTGATGACTTTAAAATGGCTTTGACAGTATAGATCTGGCTCTCATTGCCTTTTGCAGGTTAATACTTATTTTATTTTTGTAAGATTTCATTTCTTTGTGAAAAGCAGAACTGAAAATTGACTTAATAAAATGTCTAGATTTAATTTAAAAGTGCATACACCAAACTCTAGGCTCTTGTATGTTTTATAAAATCTATCGAAATTTACACTGGAGCAGTAAGCTATCTATCTTCTCAGGTCACTGCCGGCTTAGGCCCTGATGCCTGCAACCTTTTTCCTGGCAAACAGACACCCTTCCCACTACCCTCCTAAACTGACTAATGAACCTCCAAGTGGACATAGGAGTCTGCCCGGGAGGAGCATTTGCAAGATTAGGACTTTACTGTGTAACAAACCATTTTTAAAAAAAAAAAAGAGAGAGAGTTCTGTGGTCTTAAACGGTTCTCTTTGTGGCACACAAACTTATTTTGTGTTTATCTTGTTTTTCTGGCAAATAATATGAGGAGGGGCAATGAGCTTGAATCTGATCCAGTATCATGTGTCAAAGTTCACCGGTCCTTCTAAACTAGATATTTACAAATTTTAATAGTGTGCTGCTTTCAATTTAGAGCCCAACCCTTCAAATGCCCCAGAGCATAGCGTTTACTAGTGGTGTAGTTTCAGTCAAGTCAGTGGGGTTACTCCCGATAGTACAAGCTAAATAGTGTTTGCAGGATTGGGCCCCTTGTTTTTGGCTGACATATTTCAGGCAGGGTTGATTAGTTTAATTAAATAATCCATTCTAGTTTTGGACTGTCTACTGATTTTGCACTTTGTTCAAACTTCAGATCCCCATGCTATAATACAGTTGTTAACATGAACCTTTCTTTTCCTTTAGACTGAATGAACAAGCAAGCGAGGAAATTTTGAAAGTAGAACAGAAATACAACAAACTCCGCCAACCATTCTTCCAGAAGAGGTCAGAACTGATCGCCAAAATCCCAAACTTCTGGGTAACAACATTTGTCAACCACCCACAAGGTATGTTCCCAGTGCCTTTTTTTTTTGGTGGCGGGGGGGTGGAGCTGGGAGGGGCATCAGGGAAGTTTGTTACATTATGTACGCCTTTTAGTCCTTTGGTTGAGAAAATTGCTCTTAGATTTTTGTTTCCCCCGATTAACAACACTGGCTTCTGTTTGACTACATGCCTAGAACTTCCTTTTGAGGCGATAATGCTATCAAACGGAAGCAGTTTATCCATTTCTACTTCTATTGTCCCAAAGATTTTCTTCCACTTGCGTTTTGAATCCAAGAACAAACTTGATCGCCATTATTAGGACTCCACCACTATACTTTTTACCGTCCTCTTAAGTGAAAGAGAATACACCTTTAACAACCTTTTCAGTGCTCTTTTATGGACTGTATTGCAGAGAGTACTTGATAGTGACCTCTGGGGAGCTGAGAGCCAGTGGCTCTTTTGAGCTTCCTCTATAGATGGGCTGGGACAAGTAAACAATATACCAAATGTCCTACTAAATCAACTTTCTGTGACAGTTTCTTATAATGTTTGCTGCAAAATAACCTATATAAATAGCTTTGTGATGCAAGATTCCTAATTCTACCATAGTATCTGCACTGTTGGGGGAAGAAGATGAGGAGGCACTGCATTATTTGACCAGAGTTGAGGTGACAGAGTTTGAAGATATCAAATCAGGTTACAGAATAGATTTTGTAAGTATCACGGACAGTCTGTTTAATGTTGTGCCATTTTTATTTGCATGTAACCTACATCAGAGAACAGTAGCATAACTTAATATTTCAAAACTTATAGTACTTAACGTTTTTTAACATATCTGGTGTGCTATAGACAAGTATGCAATCCTAACTTTATTCTTTCCACTCTACAGTATTTTGACGAGAATCCATACTTTGAAAATAAAGTTCTCTCCAAAGAGTTTCATCTGAATGAGAGTGGAGATCCATCTTCAAAATCAACTGAGATCAAATGGAAATCTGGGAAGGCATGTATCTTTACTGGGGCGGGGAGGAATTAAATCATTGCTCCACTTGAAACAGTGGCAGTGAGTGCTCAGTGCTTTGATGCAAAAGAAAAAACACACACACCCAGTCCATTCCTGCTGGATGAAACCCAAGGATATGGTGAGGCTGCATCTACACTGAAGCTTGTAGTTAATTCTCTCACTTTGTCGCGCACCCGTGGAAGTGCTAGTGAAGACCAGTTGTCAGTATTTCTACAAGCATGTCAGTTCAACTGCTCAGAGTGGGCCTAGAAATCACAGTGAAGTGTGTGCTTTTATAAAGAAAACAAATCCACATTAGCACTCCCAACTTTTTTAGGGAATTCTCCCACAGTTGATCTAACATCAGTGCTACAGCTCTCATTGTAAACAAAGCCTAATTTAAACTTCAGGTTACAGCTGCCTTTCCAATTTCAATATTATTATGCTAAAAGTTTGGGTGGCCACTTGGTCTTTGTAAGGAAACTAACAAACCTTTTTATCTAATGAATTGTTTTTCTTGCATTTGCCAGTTACATCTATATAGTTAATGCTTTCTTTGTAATTCATAAGTTACATGTACATCTTGTGGAACTTCTGAATTAGGAGCTCATTTCCTGCACCTCACAAAAGTAAACTACAATATTGCAAATGAGTCAATTTGAATCCGTCATAGTTGGATCTGTTGGAAAACTGCATCACACTTCAGTCAAAATTTTAGCATTTTCCTCTGGTGTTCTGGGGTCTTCCAGCAATAACTTACATCTTGCAGTACCTTATGGTCATTCAGCTAATTATTAAAACAAGCTGAGTTATAGCTGTCCATAAAATTGCATAAACAAGTATATGCTGGGCAAAGTGTCTCAACAAAGCAGCAGCTAGAAGTCCGTACACATTAAGCAACGAAGTAAAAGGTCCAGAGTTACCTCTGAAGTCATGTTTTCCAGGTGTATAAGACAGGACAGTACAGAGGTATTGGTCTCAAAGGCGTGAGGTTAACTTATTATATTCTCTTGCTAGTGAATATGTTGTAGTAGCATAAAAAGTGAGTTGTATGCTTTCCCCCTTGCAATTGCTACAAAGGGGAAACAGGAAATTTAAAAGGGGAAAACTCCAAGGATAAAAGACTTAGATTAAGGATTTATCTTTTTTATGAAGAAAACAAGGATGAGCCCATCCTAGGGGGAGAGAAAAGGAAGAGTGGAGTGTTAAGACAATGTTTTATAAAAAGGCCTAGAGTAGTGGTGGGCAGCCCATCAGGGTAATCTGCTGGCGGGCCGCAAGACCGTTTGTTTACCTTGACTGTCCACAGGCATGGCTGCCCGCAGCTCCCAGTGGCTGCGGTTTGCCGTTCCCAACCAATGGGAGCTGCGGAAAGCGGCATGGGCTAATTTGAGAGCTGCTTAAATTGTTTGTGCTTAATGTTAGCATTTAAATAGTTCTAACAAGTCTTTGAAATTAGCACTTCAGTAAATGGTTTGTGTCATACCTTTGCCACTGTGTGGCTGGGAACATTAACAAAGGTCAACAGGTAGTCTCTTTGAATTGTCAATATTTCAGTGGAGAAAGCTAGAAATAAAGGGAGTGAAAACTTACATTCTGAGGAAAGTAGCAAAAAATTGAGCGCTTTTTTACTAGCACTGAACCTATTCATGAGAAATGGTAGCTGAAACTCATAGCTATGAGGTGTCAACTAGTACATGCCCTTGGGGCTCTGTATAATCTGTCTCCTACACACCTCTCCTTGAAAAAGAACAAGTAGTATGTGGTTGCGTAAATAAGCACATCTCCAAACGCATCTTGTGAAACATGGTCAGGAAATTCTTTCAGGAAAATACTTAACTTTGTCTCTTCTTTTTCAGGACCTGACAAAGCGCTCAAGCCAGACACAGAACAAGGCCAGTAGGAAGAGGCAGCATGAAGAACCAGAAAGTTTCTTTACCTGGTTCACTGACCACTCTGATGCAGGTGCTGATGAACTAGGAGAAGTCATCAAAGATGACATCTGGCCAAATCCATTACAATACTACTTGGTACGTGTAGAGTTGAGCTGTTTGTAACAGTGTTCTTGTGGCAATGTCAGAATTAATTTGATCAATGCAGTAACATTGTATATGTATTTTTAATTAAGGTTCCTGATATGGATGATGAAGAAGGTGAAGGAGAGGAAGATGATGATGATGATGAAGAGGAAGAAGGGTTGGAGGATATTGATGAAGAAGGAGATGAAGATGAGGGGGAAGAAGACGAAGATGATGATGAGGGAGAAGAAGGAGAGGTGAGAACACATTGTTTCCAGATCCAGGAGATGAATAGATCCAATTAGGAAATCCTGTTTCAGCATTGAATTTATCTTGTTGATAAATGTTAAGGTGTTATTGACACACTGTACAGTCTGCTATTATGTTTTTCAGAGGGGAGTTCGTATAGGTGATAACAGTTCTTGCAGCTTGAGCAATGATTTTAGTGTATGATTTAGTTGGTGTGGGGGGGGGGGCAAGTACTGCCTTTAATTTGGAGATGGATAGCTTTAGGAAACTCGTTGGCAAAAATGAGGAAAATTGATCTGTTTGTTTTATACCCCAGTTCATCCAAAAGCCTGTTTTTTCTTTTGGCAAACTGGTTTTTATTAGTGAGTTACTGGGTATTTGAGTGCCAATTTTAACATTATTCCATAAATAGCAAATTTTTTTGTATGCATCCACTTTTAGCAGGTTTCACCTATTATATACACTTTACTCTGGACTGTTGCCAATTTTTATGTGGTTGTGTCCTCATTTTGGGAGTGCTAGGGATGACCTCCTCACCTCTGCTACTCTCACAATCTCCAGTGATTTAAAGTTTGGAATTAGTTATCACCCAGTAACTGGGAATGTTGCACTGTTTCATTTGTTACAATTAATTTATTAACCACATTTGGCTTTTGTTATTGAGGTACATGAAACTGCCTTGGAGGCAAACAATGGGGAAGGCTTTGGACGCTGTGCACGTAGACACATAAGGTGCTTGATTTTAGATGCAGTAACTAAGCTCTGCTGAGCAATATTCTTGTTAGTATCTAAATAGTATTTTATTTAATCTTGTAGATTATTTACTTAGACTTTACTACTCTTTAAGACTGCCTATTCAAAGCTCTGGGTGCCCTTAGCAGTCTCTTCAATATTCACTAACAAATAGTTCTGTCAATTTTCATCCAAATCATATGTCCCAGCAATAACATGGAGATCAAACCTTATCCAGCCTTACCTATTTCCATATGGAGGGGGAGAAAACATGATCTTTTCAACCAGTCCTGCAAGAATATCTGCACAGGACTTTTTAGAGGGTCAAAAATTCTGGTTAATTGCTGTTTGAAAGTCAGGGCTGTCTGGAGTTTGAATGTACTGACTCCAGCTCCTTCCCTCTCCCCACCCTCCAAAAAGTGACTAGATTTTAACTGTTTCTTTTCTTTCAACAGGAAGATGAAGGAGAAGATGACTAATTAAACACTGATGGATTCCAACACCCACCCCTCCTTTTCTTACCTTTTTAATTTTTCTCCAGTCCCTGGGAGCAAGTTGCTGGTTTGTTTTTTTTTTTGTTTGTTTGTTTGTTTTTCCCCCACCCTTGTGCTCAGTCGCCTTGTTCTCTTGAGGTCTCTTTTTCTCTCCTCTACACCATGGTTCACCATTTATTTTGGGGGAAATACCCTGAGCAGAATACAGTGGAAAAGAAAATCTCTACCAGTTTCTGTTCCAAGTTCATTTTTATCCCTTTCTGTCTCAAAACAAAAACTGTTTATGGAATCAACACACCATGTTCTGTGGGAAAAAAGAAAACCTTCTGCTCCCTTCACTCTGCTGGAAGCTGAAGAGTGCTAGGCCCCTGTGTAGTAGTGCATAGAATCTGGCTTTTTTCCTTCTTTCTCTGTATATTGGGCTCAGAGATTACAGTGTCTCTCTGTGAATATGGACAGTTAGCATTTACCAACATGTCTGTCTACTTTCTCTTGTTTAAAAAAAATTAAAAAACTAAAAAAAAATGGGGTATAGAAGGTCAGCAAGGGTGGGTTTCAGATGTTTGGGTGGGTTAAGTGGGCATTTTGACAACATGGCTTCTTCTCCTTTGGCATGTTTATTGTGATGTTTAACAAACATCCTTGCAGTTTAAGATGACACTTTTAAAATAAAATCTTCTCCTAATGATGACTTTGAGCCCTGCCACTTGATGGAGAATCAGCAGAACCTGTAGGATCTTATTTGGAATTGACATTCTCTATTGTAATTTTGTTCTTGTTTATTTTTAAATTCTTTTTTTTTTTTTTTTTTTTTTTGGTTCACTGGAAAGGAAAGAAAGATGCTCAGTTTTAAACGTTAAAGTGTACAAGTTGCTTTGTTACAATAAAACTAAATGTGTACACAAAGGGACTAATGGTCTTCACTGAACAGAATATGTTTCTGATTTTTCTTGCTCATTTTCCCGTATATTGTCAAATTTTTTTTGTCTGTAGTTCCTAATTTAACACCTGTTGGTATGTGGTCAGTATGTCTGTATTGCAAGATAACCTCATGGCTATATGGATTTAACCTGAATTTAAATTGTTAGATAGTTTTCATATCTGAAAAAAGTGTTTACTTTAGGTGTAACTTACCATAAATTATCTGATACTATCAATAAGTTGCTGTCAGACTGCCTATCAATCATTACTATAAATTGGCAGTCATTACTGTAATCTGCACATTGTTTCTCTTTACTTATTTTTATATCTCCATAGGAATGAGTTGTGGTTACATTCCTCTTACGTTAAATTAATGGAGTCTTTAAATGTTCCCTCTTGCACCAAAAAGATCACCTGATGCTCTAAAATAAAGAAATTTGCAGATTTAAACACTCATTAGTGATGTAAGAGATACCACATATCTCTAATAAATCAAATCACTGAGAAGACCATACAAACTCAAGTTAAATGATCAAAGGCTAATGTTTATAATCCATTTGGTAAATAGCTTTCTCAGTTGAGATGTTAAATCAGTTTCAATTACACATTCAGGCTGATTGTACTCCTCTTCAAAAACAGAAGAATCTTATTCTGCTAAATTACATGTCACAAGGATGTGGTTACTTTGCGTGTGGAATTTCAGTGCCATACAACCTCCAATCTATGCTGTTTATATTTTCAACTATGTGAGCTAATAAAATGCAACCTGTTTTGATTTAAAAGTATCAATTGCCTAAAATCTACATCTAGAACTAACCAGAATAGCAAGTGGCAAAGTTTGATGAAACCTGTTCTAGCAATAATTAGCATTTATACAATTACTTTAAAAAGTAGAATACCATATAAACTAACCTCATTTCAATGGATATTTTAAAACCTGTATAGAACAATTTTAGTATTAAATCATTGTATAGCTGTCTTTTCCTAATGGGTTCTCAGGATGGGGGTCCTCACTCTTACGGAAAAATTTCTTTTAGCCTGTCATAGCAGCACATGTGTATTTTGTGATGCTAGAGAATTAGTGCTACGGAGTAAGGTTATTCTCTTGAGTGATATTCCACAGTGGGGAGAGACACTCCTTAAAAGACAGAACCAACTCACTTTGTTCAGTGACAGTTGGGTTGGACCTACTGCTTTAGTCCATGTCCATTTTTTGCATCAATTTTAAATAACTCCATCTTTTAACCAATTTAGTTACATTAGTGCTAAAACTAGACAAACTGTTGCCCTGCATCTTGTGTAGCCATTTATGTAGTGCACAGTAAAATGCTACTAGAACTAACTAAATTGTGCTTATTTAGGGAGAAATCTCTATGCTGTCAGAAAGAGTGCGTAAACTATCTCCTGCCTATATTGCAAGACCTATAAAAAGTTACATAATCTGCTTTTCCCCAGGACACACACAATAAGGTGGTACAGCTGAATACCAAGGACAAAAAGTAAGATGGGGGGAGGTGTGATCAAATGCCCCTCCAAGTTTGAAAACAAAAACTGATTAGTACGATACAGGTGGCAAAACAATCCCACTATTGTGCAGACAAAATATTGGTTTAACTTTCTGGTGAAACTACTCTACATTGCAGTTTTATTCTTCACAACAGTAAGAGTAAACAACCTTTGAACTGCTAGTAAGATTACTTTTGTTCTGGTAAACTTTTATCAACTAGTAGTGGGGGGGAAATATAAATTGAGTAGGGATTAAAACACTTTCCAGATTTAAAAATACAGCCCTAAGTGCCCATCCAGTGCTCTACACACCTACTTGGAAAAACTCAGTCAAACATACCTATTTAGAAGTGCCTGTTCTTTGACCCGTTTCATTAAGCTTAGTAGATACTTGTAAAAAGAAAAGGAGTACTTGTGGCACCTTAGAGACTAACCAATTTATTTGAGCATGAGCTTTCGTGAGCCACAGCTCACTTCATCAGATGTTTATGTGGAAACTGCAGCAGACTTTATATACACACAGAAATCATGATTTCTGTGTGTATATAAAGTCTGCTGCAGTTTCCACATAAACATCTGATGAAGTGAGCTGTGGCTCACGAAAGCTCATGCTCAAATAAATTGGTTAGTCTCTAAGGTGCCACAAGTACTCCTTTTCTTTTTGCGAATACAGACTAACACGGCTGTTCCTCTGAAACCTGTCTAGATACTTGTAATTACTTATGTAATACACTGATGGGTATGTTTTCAAGGGATAGAAATGTCCTTGTAACAATTAGGGTCAAATACAAGTTCTGCAATTTCATAAATTAAGACCGGAAGAGGGATCTCTAGTACATTCCTTAAAACCTTTAATCACTTTTTAAGGTAAACTATCCTTATGAATTATCTTGGCAGATCATTTATCATGAACCTCTCAACAGAGGTAGGAATTCTCCCATTCAAGCTAATGGAAGCTGGCTTTTACTTCCAGTATGAGAGTTGTCTAAGTTAATGGTTTACAATTTAGAAGTTGAAGCATTTAATAAAGTTTTAGCACGTGTATTTAACCAGTATGATAAGAAAGCATATGGAAGAGCTTCCATATTCTTATGTTTGAAGTTTAATAGATAAAGGAAGCAGAAATGTCTGCTGCTTCTGTAAACTTTAATGCCAGATCTTAAACATATGCACATGGGAAATGTATATAGATTGTAGAATTAGTAAATTTAGCACAATTGTGTTTGGGGGGGGGTCATTCAAAATGTATAGCATCTCAATTATTTTCTTATTAGTCTATGTGTGAAAATGTGAATGCCAGATTTCCTCTATCAGTAGACAGAATAGTGTGCATGTGCATGAGTGATTAGAAATTGAGGCCTATATTCATTTCTTTGAACTTGCAAATACTTTCCAGTTCTATTTGAAGAGAAAGTGGACCAGGTTAATAAATTTTTACTGATGCAACACCCAAATTACACCAAACACTGTAGCCACTGTCTATGAATTTTAAAACCATAATGTTGATCTTTGTTGGCTTGCAAGAAGATATTTTTATGCCTTTATTTCTGCTGTAACAATACTGTTAGAGCTTTCAGGAAAGCATTTGCTGTGACTGATAAATAGATTAAAGGACACTCATGTCATTTTCTGGGAGAATACCCTCAATAATACATAGTGATTTTGGAAAATTCCTTTTAAATATTAGTTGAGGGTATTTTTCTATACTTAATATTTATAAAGGTTAGTAAGGACCAATTAAGGGCCATATCCTGTATCAGGCTGTGTTATGGGGTAGATCTTCTAATTATGAAGTTCAGTTTTCTTTAATGGGACTCTGTGGGCTCAGGTTAGGGCTACTGGACCCCCTGGTAGGATGTAATTAAAGGACTATGCACAAAGAGCTGTCAATTGCAAAAAGTAAACAACATTTTCTAAGCTTATAGTATTTTAGGAGATACATGTCAGGTACCAAATTTTTAGAAATACACGATTTCTGAGGTTAGTGTTCTCCCTTTAATTTGTTCCAGACCAGGGAGAGAAACAGTTGCTAAAACACCAAGTTTCTACTACACTACTTGCCCTCCTTTTCTTTATTAGACACGGACTGGAAAGCATGGTTTCACTTTAATCATATTTATCTTAGCGTGCTATCTGGTAGACAACATCTAATAAATATTTTCTCCTGGTTTATGAAAGTAATTGTCATGCTTTTTTTCTAGTGAGACGTATAGGTTTCTTTACTGCCTCTTCATAACCTCTGGAAACCTCAGCTGTGCTCATTCATTAGTAGTACTTACTAGTCGGTGATAGAGTTTAGGGTCCTGGTCCTAGCTTACTGAATTAAATAATAAAGCTTTGATTTCCATTGGAACCGGATTAGGCCCTAAATCTGTAAAGAAGAGACATTCAAACTCACAGGGTAGTTTTCTGAACCAGAACTTCTGCCAGGAGGTGAGTGTGCTAATTTGGGAAGGAAAGGGGATAATGATATTTTAACGTAACAGATGTGAACAGAAATGGCTAAGGGAATTTGAAGCAACAATTGCAATTGTGGCTCAAGCTGGTCACTCAATGGGTGCTGACCCATGAGGTTAGCAGAGTCTATTCTACAATTTGAGCTGAAGATCACCTGTTCGATCTAGAACAAAGTATATTTTATATTCCACCCCACCCCTTCCCCTATTTTACTTCACCCGGACAACACCCCAGTAAAGCTGGAGTAGATACCACACGGGAATAGGACAGATCTATGAAGTCCAGGATCATCGCCTATGATTCCTGGAGCGCTTAAAGGGGCGCGGAGGAGGGAGTTGGAAGCAGGATGTGCACCCCACGAGCAAAATCGCGGCTAAGGGTGGGAAATACAGAAGGGCTCGAATCTGTATTGTTCCTGATCATGCAAAGTTCCCTCCACGCCACACACACGTTACCAAAAAAAAATAGTACATCCGAGATGTTATGCTTCATATAATCAGTCCGTTATATGTGTCTCGCTAACAACTCACCCCTAGAGGGAGAAACACACACATACACACACACACTAGAATTAAAAATGTTCTCATTTACAATGTTTTATCTCCAGTCGAGCCCTTTCAACCTTAACTGCGGAAGGATCGTGGTAGAATCACCACAGAAGGCGATAAGCTTTCCTCAGGCAGCAATTTGTCCCTGATCAGAGTCACAAAAGTATCATCAGAGTCTTCGAACTCCACATCGGCGACGTGGGGTCTCCAAGGCCTAGGCTGATACGCCCAACCTATTGGGGTGGAGAAAATCAAGCGGAGGGGAACGAAGTTAGGAACCCGACCACTACGAACAAACAAACAAACAACTCACCGTAGAACAATTCCACTCCCTTCAGTGAGATAAATTAATTTGCTCCCAGTCAAGTCCTCAAGAGTTTCGCTTCTGC